ATAAAATTAATAATTTTAATAATTAGAAATAAAAAATATTTAAAAAATACATTTAATGTTTTTAAACATGTCTTTATTAATCATTTAATATTAAATAACGACCACTAACTATATAACTAAATAGTTATATTTATTAAATCTACTATTTACAACCCACTATCTATCATCTGTTATCTACTAACTGTTATCTGCTACCCACTACTTACTATTGTTATCTGTTATTCGTTAAATTTTAACTATTATACCAAATAGATTCTAAAAATGCATTTCACATGAGGATAGTGCATTTAAAAAAATTAAGAATATTAGTCTCAAAATTTAAAATTTAAATTTAACTTATAATATAATTTTCATTTATAAATAAATTCAACAAAAGTAGATCTAATTAATTAATTCCTTAACATAGTATACCGTATATGTACACCTAGTAAAACATTACTACTACTTAATTTATCATACTTCCATTATATAACTTCAGCTAAAACCAAGTACATTAGTAGTTCTCCTTTTTTTTATTTCCACTAGAGCGGGATTCTTGGTTTTGGTAACTCATGCCATAATCCACAACTGCAGAGAAAACCAGGAAAAGATAAATAAACAGATAGGTCAAAGGACTAACTAGGTTGGAGAATTAATGCAGTTCCAAATCAACATGGGACCCATAACACCGTGCACGGTTAAATGCAAATTTCACAAACATTCTTTGTGACAGTACGATTAATAATATTTTATATATGGTTAAATGTACCAGATACCATATGTTTACCATTGCAACTTTTGCAAGTTATTCGGTCATAGGAATGCATCATTTTTAACAAACTATAATTAAAAATTAAAAAATGGTTAAAATTTCGAGGAACTAGGATTTGCACTCAGTCCCTAGGCTGGTTGCGAGGTGCAAGTTGCAAAAGATACACGGTAAAAACTTCAAGCATTATATATATATATATATATATATATATTAAGGATCAAGTTTCACTGCATTATATTTCATTTTTTTTTTAAAATCAATTTTTTTAAGTCAATTTATGCATCTTTTGAAACTAATTATTATTACTATTTGATTAAGTTAAAGAAAGGCAAATATTTTCAAAATCGAACCGGTTCAACTTGACTGATTCAATTGGTTTGATTGGTGGTAGAACTAAATAAATTTTTTTTTTTTTACTTTTAATTATCAACTTTTAATTATAGGATCATATGATATTATAAGTTTATAATTTTAGCATGTTATTATATGATTGTTTATTTTTGTTCATTG